AACAGGACACAAGGGTTAGAGCTAAAAGAATAGATCCAATATGGAGTCAGGTTTGTTCTCTCTGTTATAGCATTATATACTGACCAGGCAGGCCCTTGGACTCTTTAATCAATGGAAATTGATAAGAGGCCAGATGAGAATTTCAGGCAAGCCTATTTGGGCTTGTGCTGCAGCACTACGGAGTGAAAACAAGTAACGGGGGCCCTTGCTCGTTCCCTGGAAAAGAGCTGCTTGTGTCCTTAAATGCGGTAACAGTGGGGGCAGTGCATCAGTTGGGCAGGAGTGTAGCTTAGGTGGTCTGCTCACCTCCTCGGTGGTGTTGTGTGCAGGGATCGTGCACAGACCGTTTTTGCTCCCAGCATTTCAGAATTGGCACTTGGTTTGTGGCCTTTTTGCCTCCTGTTGTTCATAATTGCCCCAACTGTGCCTGCCTGCAGTTCTGTTTCATCCCTTACTGTTTCTTTGTATCCCGTTGCCCAAGGAGACATTTATCCAGGAACAAGCACTCGAGTAGAGGGTCCCAGGTCCCAGCCTATCTGAGTAGAGTCAGCTGCTTGTCATCACAGGAGACTGGCTCCTGTGACCCTGGTAGGAGAATCCCAAAGCCACAACGGGCAATGAGCAGGGCTGTCATGGAGATTGGTGGAGAGGACCAGAAGGAGGACTGAGAGTGGGGAAATACATCTCCAAGATACTATCCTTAAAGGAGAAAAAGAAAATAAGTGCATTCTTGTCTTGATGTTGCAAATGCAATAGATGATAAAACCCACTCTGTTCCATAATTGATTGTGCTACATGCAAGAAAGAGGGGAATGGGGAAAAACAATATGGAAACCTGATGGCAAGGGTTCTTGGGGCCCTGCTCTTGGCCAGGCAGCAACATGAGGAAGTACAGGGGCATACAGTGTTTTGAATAGCGCTGGTGTGGAGATTCAATAAATATTTTATTGATAACGATATTTGCTGAAATTAATAAGTTACTTCTCTCACTATTTAAAATTGTTCTATTCCCAATATCCTTCCACAAAAGATGTCAAGTGGCTTAAAAATACATTAAACACAAAAGTTAAAAGCACATAGTCAAGAAGACTAGGGTTAAGAAAAGATTCAGGCAAAATTATGAAGAACACAGTAGTAAGATTTCTATGCAGAAATGCAAACCATGTGCTTCTCTGCAGTTTGTATTGTGTTCACTAGAGGTATCCGAGCTTCCTAGTAGCCAAGGTACAGAATAAATACAATTAATTTGGAGAATTTCAGAGGTCATGTAATAATTTACAGATATATGGAGAAGTCTAACACTTTTGGGGTTAAATCTCTGATGTAAAAGAATCTTTTCTTACCACTTTTCAACAGAGAATACAACACATTTAACAACGTACCAACAATTATAATCATAACACTATCACTTACTGAGCCCTGATGTGCCAGGCATTACTTCAGGTGGTTAGTAAATGTTAACTCATGTGATTCCCACAAAATCTTATGAGGTAGGTACCATTATTATCCCCACTTTACACATCAAGAAGTGAGGCTAAGAGAGGTTAAGTCATTTTCCCAAGATCACACAGCTAGTAAGTGCTGGCACAGTTTCACTCCACAGCCTGTGACCTTAACCAGTATAACACACAGTAAACATGAAATGAAACTTTAGGGCCACTTCTCAATGTAAGTCGATGGTGTGGCCCTGATGGTCAAGTCACTTCAAGTTGTTCTGGAAGAGATGATCGCAGTCAACAAAAGAATACAGCTCTCTGGTTTTCTGACTCGATTTTAGGGAATAAACCTAAACTGTTGGAGCCTGATTGGCAAGCATGTCTTTCAGGAGGACACTGTACAGTCAGTCATTCAGGGTCTTGATGAACTGAGTGTGTTGTAACAGAAACCAGGCTATAAAAAAGAAAAACACGTGAGCAAACTGAAAATGCAGCCGTTAGACCCACACCCTCTTCCTGTTACTTAATACAAATCCCTTTAGATACATTTTAAGATTTGATTGTTAACCAGCTAAGTTTGACCTGGGAACTAAAAAAAATTTCAGGAACAGAGTACTAACCAAATGATTTAGTGATTTTTTTTTTGTAGTGACATTCAGAGCTCGCCACTACAGATCTTTCCCCTTAGCAAGGAAAACAAAGATCTTTGGGGCCACACAGCAGAAGCTTACTCTTCCTGAAGAGGTGAGATGTGGGTCAAGATAAAGGTCAAGGCCTCACCTATGAACAGCAGGATTCGCTGGCCCCCTTTTGCCCACAGAGACACTGCACTTACCTGCCAGCTATGTCCACTGTGGTTTGCAGTTGCATTGGGGAGAACCAGGTTGAATGCTGGGGTCAGCTGTGTAAATGGGCAGGACCCTAGGGGGCCTTCCCAGGACAGAACCCTCCCCTACATCCTCTGCTTTAGCTCCTCTCAGAGGTACCCAGATAACGGTATCTGATGCACATTTCCTGAGTTTGACAGATGCTAAAACCCCCACCAAATGGAAGAAATTAGCTGCTTGATGACCGTGAGCATGTTGCCTCATGGCTATGGGAAATTAATTATTATTATTATTATAATAACTCTGTGACATCCTGCTACTTCATCACCAACCAGAGAATTGTGTACGAGCTGATCACATATCTAGGGACTCCCTTCCCCTGCCTTGCCTTTAAAAAGGCTTTGCTGAAATCCACTGGGAAGTTTGGGCTTTGTGGGCATCAGCTGTCCCAGCATCCTTGTATGGCACCTTAACAATACATCCTGCACTTTCCTTCACCACAGACAAGTGTCAATAGCTTGACTTCACTGTGTGGGCGAGCAGACCCAAGTTTTGGCTCCGTAACAGCTGGAAGGACTCAGAGAGCCAGTGGGGAATGTGGAGAGAGCACCCTGGAAGAAAATGGTGCATTGATCATTGAAATCGCCTCCCGGCCTCATTGCGTACAGTCACTTTCTCTTCCAAACTCCCTGGAGTCTGATTCTAGAAGGATGACTAGCAGCTGGTACTACCTGCTAAGGCGTTGTTACTGAACCAGATCTCCTTGCCTAAAATACAGCAAGACAAAACGCTGAGACGCCAAGGTTTGCGGCAAAGAGAAGGTTTATTCACAAGGCAGCCAAGTGAGGAGATGGGAAAACTAGCCTCAGATCTGCCTCCCTGAAGGCCAGGGGCTTGAGATACTCATGGGATGCAGAATCTGGGTGGTCTCAGGGATGGGGAAAGGTGACTGCAGGAACAGGAAAAGTGAGGTAATTGGTGTTCTGTGCAGGTGCATCTGAGTTACGTGCATCTTCATGGGCTGTATATTCAAAAATGGCAGTGCTTAGCAGGATCTGACGGTGGAGTTTTTGGACCTCTGGCATCAAAAAGTCATTCATCAGACCCCTGTGCAGACCCAGTTTTAGGGTTGGTGGTTCCAAGTAGTCTCAGCTGGCTTGAGCCAGACCAGACACAGCTGACTCCAAGTTCTTGGGCAAACATCTTACTGTTGGGCAAACATCTTATTGTTTAGGCTATGTGAAGCTTGAAAGGTATACAATTTGCAACAAAATAATTAAGGCGAACTAGCTCAGTGAAGGCAGGCTGGGAGTGGAGGGGGTGTTAGCAAGCTACAGGACAAGCTTGAGTTTCTTTTAGTCACCAGTTTCTGTTAACCCTATGGGGCACTGTTTCAGAGGTGGTAGATTTTTCTCCCTGCAGCTTTTAAAAAATAAATATTTACTTAGCGACTATAAGGTACAGGAACATTAAGTTCAGCAAGTAGAAAATCATAGGGGAATAGGGACAAAAAAGAGAA